CTATCCTCCCAACTTTGATTTAGGAGGTCGCGTGGTCCCGCCCCCTTCCCTCCGCCGCTCCCCCGCGCCGCTATGCAAATCTGCTTCTCGGCGATTGGCTACCGCGGGCGAAGGGGGCGGGGCCTGGGAGGGCTCGACAAGATGGGGCGGGGCTTGGAAGGGAGCGACGTGGAGGGGGCCGTTTTACATTGAAAAACCTGGAATGGGTGGCGTGACAAGGTTGAGGGATGGCTCCAGAGGTCATATTAGAGTCTGGATAAGGCTGGGGGCGGGCTGGGGTGGGGAATAGAGATAGGTTACATCTGCAGAAGGAGAGCCGAGAGTGGAATCCAAATGAGGGCTTCCTGGTAGAGGTGGGGGAAGAAGGGGGACCCTTCTGCCCCATTCAGTACCGGGGTGTCTCTCTGCCCTGGAGAGACGCTCTCCAAACACACGCACCCCCCTGGGCTGAGAGGTGGTGATTTCCTCAAGCAGAGAAGGGACAACTTAACATCATGTGTCAAAGGCCAGGCCTGACAAACTGCTTTTTTGTGGATGAAAAGCTGGACATTGTGTCACTTTCCAGTCTTGTCTGGACTTCAGCAGAAAAGAGAGCAGTGGTCTCAGTCCCAGCACCTGAGGTCCTCTAACCTTCTCCAGAACACGCCCCCTCCTGTAGAACCTGCCACAGACGGAGTTAGATCAGGGGGTAGGGAACCGTGGAGGGGCAAGCGGGTTCTTGCCCACTTGTCTGAAGGTATCTCTTCTAATGCATGCGGGTGTGTGTGTGTGTGTGTGTGTGTGTGTGTGTGTTTACCTTCTATTTCCCCAAGTCCTCCTCCCTCACCTCCCATCCTGACCAAAAGGTCTAGCTTCATCTCTTGGCCCGTCCAAGGAAAGGGAGATAAGTTGGGAGTTGAGAGACTCTTTCCTGGGTGGGGGTGGAGAGACTTCTGGGTCTAAGCCTCCTTCCTCCTCATCTGCTGTGGGTGACAAGATGGGGGGGACCTCAAGGAGGTCCTACCTTTATGCCAGCCCTGGAGGAGGGGCTGAACCCTGTGTCTGCCCATGCACATAGCCATCCATGCGATCTCCCTCCTCCCAAGGATGAGCTCACCATTGGAGGACCGCTCAGGTTACTGTGTCCAAGAATAGAGATACACTTGCCAGTGACAGAAGTAGGACAAGGGCAGACGTGACGGTTCGTGATTGTGGGGGCTTAGTCCCCTCCCCTCCAGATCCACCCACTGCAGCCATAGACGCTGAGAGCTAGCTTTCCTAAAAGGAGCTTCAATAGAACCTGGCCCCAGTCCTTAAACCAGTCTCCCCAAAGACTCACTCATGCCCAGCCTTCTCCCAATCTCCTCAGAGGGCTGCCCTCCTCCCTCTTGCCCAGCTGAGGGCACCCCAAAATCCCCTCCCTGGCCAACTGAGATGTAGAAATGCTTGGAGCACCCTGGTATAGAGTTGTCAGCCCTCTCCCCTCATCTATCCTGGACTAGAGCAAACAAGGCCTTCTGCATTTAGAGACCTCCTGGGGGAGGTACCCCTGTTTCTCCCACATAGCAGAAACTCGGGGTTCCTTGGAATCCAGTACCTGTATAGTCACTAATTAACTGTGACCTTGGGTGAGTAACTAAACCCTTTGAGCCCTGATTTCTTCATCAACAAAATGGACATAGTGCAGTGTTGGGAGAATGAATGAATGAGTTTGCCCAGGGAAGACAAGCAGGGAAAATTAATTTTCTTCTTTGCCTCCTTTCTTTTGGGATATTTGTTCCTTCCCAGTGCTTTTCCCGAGGCAGAGAGAAGAAACGGCTTCGTTCCCCTCACTTTCCTGAGTCATTTGGAGCCTGTTATTTCATGGGGGAGTCAACCCAGAAAAGGATTCTGATGGGACAAGAGGAAGAATTCCCAGGGGAATCGGTGGTACCAGTGACCAAGGCAAGCCAGGAAAGTTGGTGGGTCCTGGGCCCATCTGGTCTCAGCGCCAGAAGCCTGAGGTGGGGCAAATATGGAGGAGGCCAGGGGGCTGGATGCCATGACCTCTGGATGTCCTTTCTGGATGTGTTTCAGAGAAGTCTTTCATACACTAAGTCTGAGTCATTGTCTCGGTGCCAACAACTCCTACTGCAGTGGCTCAGGGACAGGGCAGGAACCGCCGGACCAGCTTCTCCTGGAAGAGGAACATTGTCCCATCTCAGATGCAGAGGCTGAAATAACAAGGGTCAAGGTGCCACGAGAGGATAAATGGCAATCACACTCTCAAAAGAACCCCCTGTTTGACCGGAAGTCAAAATACAACTACTGGAGTGCCTCTTGGTAGGAGAACCGCCTGAATGCGGGTGGGCACTGGGCTCTCAGGAGCCCGGGGACTGAGGGATGGCCCGATGACTAAAACCTGCCTGGGGCACAGTGTCCAGCACGCTGAGAGAGTCTGGTCCTCATCCTAGTCTGCCCTATTTTTTCTGTTCTTCGATTTTGGGCAGAGAGCTGTTCTCTGGAGGGACTTTCATTTCCTTCTTTTTAGATGGGCAGAATTGGACTAGAATAGGTTGAAATGGGGAGTTGCATTAAAATGGGGCAATAATACTTGTTGTTATTAAGAATTCTTAACCTTGGGCTTGCAGTTAAGCTTTAGGAAGCTCGTGAACCCCTTGAAACTATGTAAAATTTGGAGGAGAAGCACTTTCTGGGAAGAGTCAGAGCTTTCATCTGCTCCTCAGAGAATCTAAGATCCCCAAAGGATTAAGAATCTTTGGCTTGAATGACCCCCAGGATTCCTCATATAAGAGTTTGAGATTCGCTGATGTGAGGGATTGCTACTCCTTCCACAGGACTGACTTATTTTCCCCTTAATCACCTTCAGCTCAAGCCCTTCCCGCTGTGGCCTCTGCCCCCAGGAGTTGCCCAGGACAGCCCAAGCTGAACACCTGAGTGCCTGGCCTTTCCCTCCAGCTTTAGAATCAGCACACCTGGGGTGGGGTAGTCTGTGCCGCGACAGCAAGGCCAAGGGTGAACCTGAGAGGGGGGCGGTGAAGGATTAGAAAAGACAGACAAGAGAATAAAAGCTGGGTCTGGGTGGGACGCTGTCCTCTCTGATGGAGCGACAGTGTCACGGAC